GAGGGAGGAGGGGCTGGGGTCCTGGACTCCTGGGTGTGAGGGAGGAGGGGTGGGGGGCCCTGGGTCTGAGGAAGGAGGGGCTGGGGCCAGGACCCCTGTGTCTGAGGGAGGAGGAGCTGGGGTCCTGGACTCCTGGGTCTTAGGGAGGAGGAGCTGGGGCCTGGACCCCTGGGTCTGAGGGAGGTGGCGCTGGGGCCGGGACCCCTGGCTCCTGGATGCAGTAGGTGGTATGTGCCAGACCGCAGCTCTCCAGGCGCAGGTACTACCTGAGTTTCTCGTCTATGGTGGGCAGGTATGTCTTCTGGTACAGGTTGGAGGCAGCTGCCTTTGCTGAGTCCCAGTAACTGGAGAGTGATTCTTGCACCTGGGTAAGCAGGGCAGGGCTGGCCGGCTCTTCTTGCTGGGGCAGATGGGCCCCCTGGACCTCTGCAGGGGGAGAGTGTGTCAGGGGAGTGTGTGGGGCTGCAGCAGAGGAAAAGGAGATAGGAAGGAGAGGGGAGGGCAGAGGCAGGGGTAGGAAGCGCCTGGGTTGGGAAGACGCTTGGAATTCATTCCCCGGAACCTCCCTCCGCTGAAGCCCACACTCACCGAATCCCAGTACCAGGAGGACAAGAAACAGAGCCAGGAGGAATCGTGTGCCCATGGTGTCAGGAGACCTGCCACATGGAGGGGGTGTCATACGGCAGGCCGACTGGAGGCAGCCTAGTGGGGGAACTGAATCCTGCTCCTTGTTCGCTGCATGTCCGGGCAGCTTCCTCACGCCTGGGCTGGGACTCGGCCCCCTTCTTGGGCCTTACTTTCCCACATTCTGTGATTCTACTCCTGATGTTAACATTGTAATTTTTTTTTTTTTTGAGGCTGAATCTTGCTTTGTCGCTCAGGCTGGAGTGCAGTGGTGTGATCTTGGCTCACTGCAATCTCCACCTCCCAGGTTCAAGCAATTCTCCCGCCTCAGGCTCCCAAGTAGCTGGGATTACAGGTAGACGCCACCCCAGCTAATTTTTTTTTTGAGACAGTCTCGCTCCATCGCCAGGTGCCAGGCTGGAGTGCAGTGGCGCGATCTCGGCTTACTACAACCTCCACCTCTCGGGTTCAAGCAGTTCTGCCTCAGCCTCCCAAGTAGCTGGGATTACAGGCATGTGCCACCATGCCCAGCTAATTTTTGTATTTTTAGTAGAGATGGGATTTCACCATGTTGGCCAGGAT